CCCCATCCCTGGTGCCTCCTTCAGGAGAGCCTTTGGGAATTTCCTTTTTTTTCCCGGGAATTTCCTTTTTTTTCCCGGGAATCTCCTTTTTTTTTTTTTTTTTCCCGGGAAATCTCCGGAGCCATCCCATCCCACGGAGCCACGGGAAAACCAAACCCAGCTCTTCAATCCTTCCTTTTTCTTTTTTTTTTTTTCTTGGAAAAAAACCCAAAACAAACCGGGATCCCTGCCTGCTCCAGCTTCCCGCTTTCCTGGAAAATCAGCGAGATCCAGGCCGGGAATTATTGGGATTTTTCCGCCCCAAAAACGGGGAGGAGGGACAAGGGGGACAGGGGGACAAACAGTGGGGTGGCAGCAGGTCTCCCCCAACCCCGAAATCCCAAATTCCCCCGAATTCCGGGGACTCCCCAGCGCTTCCTCGGCCGGGAATTCTCAGCCGGAGGTGGCGGTGCCATCGCCAGGCGACACCGGCCGGGTGGCACCGGGCTGGGAGCGGCTAAAAATAACCCGCCCTCCTCCGCCGGGCTAATTTTAGCTCTAATTAACTCCCCGCCGCCCTAATTAACTCCTTGCGCTCGGAGCACCGGCAAAGCCGCGGGGTCCCCCCGGTGCCACCCCGGGGTCACCGCCCCGTCCCCACGGGGGTGACACGGGGACACCCGTGACGCAACGGGGCCACCGCGGTGACGTCACGGAGGGACTTCCTGCTCCGGGGGAGGGAGCGGCGAGGGGACACGGGGGCGGCTCCGTGCCTCAGTTTCCCCCAATTTCCAGATGTTGGGGGTGTCGGGATGGGCAGAGCAGCCCGGGGGGGGGGGGGTGGGGGTGGGTGTCCCCTCCCTCCCTCCCCCCACCCCGGTTTTGTGTCCCCAGTGTCGCTCGCAGGGTGGAGCCGAGCCCGGGGCCAGGAGCCGCCGGAGCCGCCCGGGCCAGACTCATAAATCATAAATCACTAATTAGAAATTAGAAATCAGCGGCTCCGGCGCGGCTCCGGCCCTGCCCTGTCTGCCCGGACCCCCCCGAACCCAACCCCCCCCGGTGTCACCCCCCGGCACCGGTGTCACCCCCGCGGGCACATTCGGCATCTCCTCCCCCCCCCACCGTGTCAACTTTTTTTTTTGGGGGGGGGGGCGACCTCCTCATTATTCATTAATTACCGAATAATCGCCCAGCGTTTAATTATGCCGCGCTGTCGAGGCAGGGGGGTCACGGTGGGGATCTGGGGGTGTCCCCAGGATCCCAAGCCCAGCCCTGGGCTCCTTTTTTGGGGGGGGAGGGGGTGAATCAGGGACCCCTCCCCGAACCCCCAAACCCCATTGAACCCCCTCTTGGTGGGGGCGACTTTGGGGTCCATGGAGGGGGTGCATGGGGGGGTCCCTGAGCTCTGGGGGTGCCCCAGCTGCTGTTTTGGGGGGTCAGGGGAGTCTCTGTGCCCATGGTGGGGGGGTCTGGGGGTTCCTGAGCCCTTGGGCTGCTGTTTCGGGGGGGTCTTTGGGGGTCCCTGGGCTTTGGGGGTGCCCCAGCTGCTGTTTTGGGGGGGTCAGGGGGGTCTCTGTGTTCATGGGGGGGGTCTCTGGTGGGTCTGAGGATTCCTGAACCCTTTGCCTGCTGTTCTGGGGGGTCCCTGGGGGGGTCACAGGGACACCGTGGGTGGGAGTGGGGGGATTTTGGGGGGGCCCGTGGAGATGCTGTCACCCCTCCCACCCTCGTGACCCAGCCGCGGTCTGACACACCGGTCACACGAGTGGCACAGCCGCGGTGACAGCGGCGACAGGAATGGCCTCGTGACCTCGCCGCCTCATCAGTGAAACGAGTCGGGGCAGCCTCAGCCGCCCTCGGGCCCTTTCCCTTCGCGATTTTCCCAGGGGGACCCCCGGGAACAGCGAGACCCCCTCCCCGAGCTGAGACCCCACGGCTGGGGGGGGAGCCGGGGAGGGGGTCGCAGTTTGGGTCACCCAGCGGGCGTTGTCACCACCGTGTCCCTTTGTGACCGCCGGGGCTGTCACCTGTCGCGCTCCCTCCGTGCCTCAGTTTCCCCCGCAATCAGAAGCCCAAAGGAGGGCACAGGGCACGTCCCCAAAGCACGGGACACTCCGCGACGGCCACCGTGTCCCCGGCCAGCCGGACACCGTGTCCCCAGCCCGCCGGGACCGCCCTGCCCTGGCTCCGTGCCGGGGCTGGCACCGCTCCCCACGCGGGGTCACCTCGTGTGACACCGCGCGTGTGACACGGGCAGGGCCAGCTCAGGTGAGCTCGGGATCCGCTCCCCCAAATTCGCCACAACCCCGCGGTGGGGGGGACCCCACCCACGGCCTCACTTTCCCCGGAACCCCCGGGCTTCCCACGCTCCTTGTCCCCAAGCCCCGGGGGACAGAGGGAATCCCCCCGCGGCCCGGGATCCCCCCACGGGCAGCCCCGGTCTCCCTTCCCACGGCCGCGGTTTTTTTTCCGCGTGGGTGGGGGAAGCTCCGGGCCCGAGGGGGGGTGGGCGTGCCTCAGTTTCCCCCCGAGCTCCGGGCAGCCCGTGGGTGTTTTTATTGGAAAAAAAAAAAAAAAAAACCTTTTCCAGCGAAGGGCGGGGTGGGAATTTCTCCTCCAGCAGCAGCAGAGAGGCCACACACGGGGGGGAATTTCGGCCCTATAAAAGACCCCCCTCATCGTGCAGAGCCCCCAGGGGAGGTGGAGCCCACCCCAAAACCCACCCGGGAGGCGCCGATCCCCCTCCCTTGGGAACGGCTCCAGCAGAGCCGAGGGAAGAGCAAACACCACTAACGTCAGACATTTTATTGCAAAGAAATTCAGTTCCTCTTTCGGTAGAAGAATAAACTCTGGAAAAAGACTCAGCTCAGGGTCTCCACGTGCAAAAAACAGCACCCCGGGAGGTGCAGGTCCATCTCTACGTGGATAATTCCTTGGAAAAAGCAGTTTTTTTGCAACAACAAAAAAAAATTAAAAATCCAGCCCTGCGCAGTTCTCGCCTCCATCAAGTCTCAGCTGCCAAAAATCGCGACAGTGTCCAGCTCCAGGGTCACCCCTGGTCACCCACGGTCCAGCACGACTCCTCGGCCGGCGGCTCCGGCCCGCGGCCACCCGGGCTCGGCACGGCGCCCTCCATTCCCACCGCAGCGGCCGCGCTCCCCCTTCCTCCTCTTCGGTTGAAAAGAAAAATAAAATCGGTGGGTTTTGGGGATTGTGGGTTGGAACTCGCTGTTTCTCCTCCTTTTTTTTTTTTTTCCTGCTGTTTTATGTTAGGGTTTGGGTGGTTTTTTTTTTTTTAAGGTTTTTAACCCTTCAAGTCCAGGCCGGGAAGGGCTCAGCGCTCCTGCAGACACACGTAAGGCACCCACTGGTTCCTGTCGCGACTCTCGGCGCAGTAACTCGCCACCTCCGCCAACCCTTGACTCTTCCAGGCGTCCGTGTGCGAGTTCTGGGAAAGCAAGAGCACGAGGTTAGTGCCACCAACGCCCCGACACGTGTCCCCGAGTCACCCTCCCCGGCCCCTGGCGGAGTCACGGGGCCACCAGCGCGTCCCCTCCCCGCTCACCGTGACCAGCAGACAGTGCAGGTCGCGGGGCTCGGACTGCGGCTCGGGCTCGCCCAGGATGGCGGCGAGGCGCTGCATGCCCGACACTCGCAGGATGTGGATGTCGTTGTCGCAGCAGAACGCCTGGATGAGCGTGAAATGGATCTGCAGGGCGATGTCACCTTCGTCCTCCTCGTCGGTGGCCAGCACGCACAGCACCACGCTGTCGGGGTCCCTGCGGGGGTGCGGAGGGTGAGCGGCGACCGGGACAGCTCGGGATGGCGGAACCCCCTCCCGCGGAGCTGCCACCCCCCCGTGTCACCTCCCTGTCGCGCTAAGAACGGGGAACAGACCCCTCCAAAAAATTCTGCCTGGTCACCCCCCCCTCGTAAAACGCTCCAGCCAAGAGCCAGCCCGGCGCTCAGAGCGCTGGAACGAACCCCGCCACGCGAGCCAGACCCCCCGACAAACCCCCCCGACAGAGCCCTGTCGCGATACTCACACATTCATGAGCTTGGCCGACTCGTAGACCCCCACGGTGAGCCGGTCCTGCCGCTGCGCCGCCACCAGCACCCGCTCCACCGCCTCGCTCACCGCCTGCATCCTGCCGGGAGGAACGGCACGGCCGGTGAGCGGCCACGGCGACAAGCACGGACCCGCCCCGCGCAACACCCCGAGCCGCCCGCCACTTACTTGCTGCTATCGCAGGGCACCAGCTCCTCCAGGGTCATGGTGCAATTGTAATCCCCAGGAGAAGAAGGCAAATTCCAAGTGCAATAGTCCTGAGCGCGAATATCGCGGGGATATCGCAGAGATATCGCAATCGCCTTCGCCGCTCCGCTCCTGCCGCTGCTCCGACACGATCGCTCTGAGGCTTCGCCGCACCCTGCGCCGCCTTTTATAGGCCCCCACGGCTGGGCGGGGCCACGCGCGGCGCCCCCGCCTCGCCCATTGGCTGGCGCCGCGCGGAGCCACCCACGGGCACGACGCTGATTGGGCGCCGCCGGCAGGGACCACGTGGGGTGAAACGCGGGGGGGG